GCATGCCAGGCGAGTGTGCTATCGCTTGAGCCACATCCCCAGCCAAGTCACCCTGCAGTTTAGCATATACACTCTTGCAACCCCTAAACCAATCATTTCAAATGTATCCACCACTTGAACTCACCAATCATCCTTACCCAAATTGTTCCCACCAGTGAACTTGCTATGTTAAGAGTAGTTGTTTGATTTTCCCATGATATGAAATGATTTGCTGTGTGATGTTGTGACGCATAGAGTATCCCCTAAAAACCTACAAATCCTCACTGAACTAAGGGCCAGGACTCGCTCCTGGGGACTGCTGCATCGGAAACAGTTGTGAGTCCAGGCTCGAGCTTGCAAAAACGGTTGTGAGTCCAGGCTCGAGCTTGCAATAAAGACTCTTATGTGATTGCATCAGATTCAGCTTCTGGAGGTCTATTGGGGTCCCACAAATCTGGCATTACACATCTACAACTACAAAAAAAAAATAAGGCACATTTTCTCTTAAATTGTCAAAAGTGTTGCTGAAAGCTCGGTCCTTGTCCCCAATGCCAATCCAATAACAAGGACAAGATTTTGAGAAAAAGGAAAAAGAAGGTTTATTGCTTTGCTAGCAAATGAGAAACACAGGGGACTCCTGTCCCAAAGGCTGTGATTCTACCCATCAGCAGGAACAGGGGTGATTCAGAGAACATGAGATTACTGAGGAGGGATCAGAAAGGAGAAGGTCAGGGAAAAGTCTATGGGGAGGAGAAGATTGAGGAAAAAGAGATCAATAAGATCAGGGAAAAGTTTAGGAAAGAGAAGATCAGGGAGAAGAAGATTAGGAAAAAGAAAAAAAAAACATATATAAGTTTCAAAGCCACAAGGGATATAGTCAAAGCATCAAGTAAATCCCTGTTGCAAAAGGAATATATTTTCATAGAGTATGTTGAAAATTAGGAAAATCAAGGGTTCTGTTTCTATCAGGTGCAGTATTTAGACTGTTATTTTGATAAAGTCCAGTTGCTCTAATATGGTTTGAAAATCCTTGCTCCCTTGGAGTATAATTGCAGGGGAGAAACTGTGGCAAAGGTACAAATTCACCATAATGATTTGAACTGGTTTTGTACATAATCATCTGAGGTTTTGATAGTGAAGTAGCTGTACGGAGTGTCTTTGGGTCCAACATACAGGAAAACACAGGATTGCCAGGGTTCACACAAGGAAGCAGTTGTTCAGGTTTCATTCCTGTGTCTGACTTTGAAGTTGAAGTACTTTTCTTATCCTAAAAGATAAATATATAAAACCATTCTCAATTATTAAAAAATAGAATTAAACTTATTCCTTTCATACCCCTTTTTTGGGGGGGAAATGCTATTCATTATTGAAGACTACCTGCTAAATGAGCTTTATTTGGTTCAGAGAAACTTGTCAAAATATTCATAAACATGTTATACTAGCACTATGAAAATCGATTACAAGCTGGGTATGGTGGTGCATGCCTATAATTTCAGCTATTAGGGAGGCCAGCCTGTGCAATTTAGTGAGATCCTGTCTCAAAAAACCAAAAAGGGCCAGAATATAGCTCAGTGGTAAAGTGCCCCTGGGTTCAATCCCCAGTACTGAGGGGGAAAAATTAATTTATAGGAAAAGTTTATAATAATAGTCATAGCTGAAGAGGGAGTATACCTCAATTTTTCTAGGGGATAGCCATAACAAAGAATTACAGCTAACAGAATAAGCACAACTGGGAAACTGGGATAAGTGCTATGAAGAAAAATACAAGATATGAAGATATACTGGGGGGCTTTAACCTAGTTTTGGGGGTAAGGAGGGCTGTTCTGGTGAAGTTTTATTAAATCTAAAGGTAGAAAGCAAGGTAGGAAAAGAGATGGAAGCAAAAATCATGGCCAAAGTCAAGTAAATTAGGGTGAAAATGTTTTTAGATAATATAAGAGGCTGAAGCCAGATCTTGCAGGATCTTGGTAATTATGGTAAAAATTTGAGCAGGCTGTGGTGGTGCATACCTATAATCCCAGTGATATGGGAGGATGCAGCAGGAGGATCTCAAATTCAAGGTTAGCCTCAGCAAATTAGATCATGTCTTAAAAAAAAGAAAAAAAAAGGATTGGGGATGTATCTCAGTGGTAGAGTGGTCTGGGTTCACCTCTCTCTCTCTCTCTCTTCTTCTTTTATTTATTTATTTATTTTTGAGCAGGGCACAATAGAGCATGGCTGTAATGCAGGAACTCAGGAGGCTGAGGCAGGGGAATCAAAAGTTCGAGGCCAACCTCAGCAATTTAGTGAGATCCTATCTTAAAAGGTTTGAGGATATAACTCAGAGGTAAAGCATGACTGAGTTCAATCTCAAGTACCAGAAAAAAAAATAAGATAAAAGCAATGGAAAACTCTTTAAGGGTTTTAAGGAAAGTATGGTGTAATTTTTAATAAAATTGCTTTGGTTTCTCTCTGAGCCTTGTGTAAATGTGGAGAGGAGCTGTAGTAGTCCATGTAGTGTGTGGCACAGACATGGACATAGTAAACATATTTGAAATTTAGTCATTTGAGGGAAGGAGGCAGCAACATGTTTAAAAAAATGGATGCATGTGTATAAAAATGTTTTATCTTTAATAATGTCTCTTTCTCCCTGTTTTTCATTTGGCACTGGGTATTGATCTCAGGGCTTCATGCATGAAGCAAGCAAGTGCTCTATCACTGAGCTACATCCGTGGCCCTTTTTTTAAATTTTCAGATAGGGTCTTGCTAAATTGTCCTGGCTGGCTTCCTGTCTTGGCTTCCCCAGCAGCTGGGATTACATACCTGGTCACTGCACCTGGTCCTAATTTACTGTTTTGGCCACCTTGGCAGATTGCCCAAAATAATCTGTGGGCTTTTTTTTTTTCTTTTAAAGTAAATACTATTGCCTTTAGTCATGAGAACTTTTTTTCATCAAATAACCCTTTTTGTCATTGGCTCTAAAATTCTGATCAGTTTGGCTTAACATGTAATACAGAAAACCAAATCTATTCCTCTACCCCCACTTCCATTTCTACGTACTCCTTTTTCATAAGGGACCTTTAAAAAAATGAGACAATTTGGGGCTAGGGATGTGGCTCAAGCAGTAGCGTGCTCGCCTGGCATGTGTGCAGGTCCTCAGCACCAATACAAAGATATTGTGTCCCCCGAAAACTAAAAAAATAAATATTAAAAATTCTCTCTCTCTTAAAAAAATGAGACAATAGAGGAAATAGATGCTTTTGTTTTTACAAAAAGTGCAAATACATATTATGAACATTTTACTTTCTCAATAGTATCAGAAGAGAGTGATATATGAAAGAAAACCAAATCTAGTTCAAACAGAAGACAAATTAGCTGATAAACTTTGTTGGTTTAACAAACACCACAAAATCTGTAAATTAGACTGAAATCTTAGATCTCCACAATAATGAAGCCAGAATCAGGCAGTCAGTATAGATAGGTATATCGAGTCAGGTCGGATCAAGAAGGCCAATTTTGAGTGATTCTGGGAAGTTGGAGACTGTCATTCCCTAAGGGATGGAAATGTTACTTCCTTCAGAGACCTATCTCCACCCTTATCAAGAACCCGCCCAGTTCCAATCTGTGATGTGGGTAACCTGTTCCAGGAATTGCCCCTCCCTACAGGGAGCTAGGGGATGTTAATGTGTCCTTGGCTTCTCCAACCTGCCCTTCCCCCTTCAGCCCACCTGTTTCCTACCTTCGGGCCATCCCACCAAGCATTCCAGGGCCTAGTGACAGATGCAGGAAGGAGAAAGATAAGACTAGGACTTAAAAAAAAGTGTAGAACACCTCACTTCTTGGAGTACCAGGATACCAGCTATGGCCCCCTTCTCCCTCCGGGGAGAAATCTGTTACCCCTTTTTAAATAAACCCTGCTTTATATGCTTGCCTCAGCATGCATCTATAATGTTCAAACTTCAACATGTGGGAAAGCAGGACTCCTCACCAATAACTGGCAATATCAATAATTCACAAATATCTGTAGATTCAGAAACAAAATTATGTGTTGTTTTTACTTAACCACACATGCCTTCAATGTGGCTCTTCTTGTTCGGCATTTGCCCTTTTCAAACTTTTTTTTTTCCTTTTTTTGTAGTACTGGGGATTGAACCCAAAGTCTTTTGCATGCTAGGCAAGCCCTCTTTCATAAGCTACATTCCCAACCCTTTTGTTGTTGTTGTTGAAGATGAACAGAATACTTTTAACTTATTTTTTATGTGGTGCTGGGGATGGAACACATGCGAGGCAAGCGCTCTGCCACTGAGCTACAGCCCCAGCCCTCCAAGTCTTTTTAGTTTATTTTGAGACCAGGTCTTATTAAGTCCTCCAAATTGCTTAAACCTTACTTTCCACTGACCATTTACAGTGATTAAAAGTGTACTTTCCCCTCATATCCTTTTTGGAAAAGACACAATGTATATAAACATGATATTAAAATTAAGCTACGTTAGTCTTGTTCAAACTATCACCAGTTTGCCCTGGAGTACCAGTGTGTACCATTCCCCAATATCATTTATACCTTCAGATCAACAATGACTTAATTAAGCGCTCATTTTACATTTGAAAATGTAAAAACTTTAGCCTTCTGCACAAACCCACCCAGTCGCAGTCCGTCATTCTATCTTCCTCAATTTTTCGGCAAACGGAGTCTTTTCCTGCGGGGAAAGGCAAGAAGTCCGGCAACTACCCAGGAAACTACACCCAATTAAAGCAGCAAAAAGTCTGAATCCTTGGCTGGATCCCTTTGTATAAAACGATCTGCCTAATCCATGGAGTTGTATTGCCTGGCAAAACCGCGAATCCTTAAGAGTGGTTGCAGCTTGTCTCCATAGCAACTGGCCGCGGGCGCCGGGGCCCGGATGTTGTGAGGATCCGCGGTGGTTTGCCCCAGCTTCCTTTGGTCTCCTCAAGGCAGGCTGCACTCCTCTTCGGGAGTTGTAGTTCTCTTCTCTGCCGCCGCCGGGCCTGAGGCGCGGGGTGGACTACAAGTCCCGGCATGCGCTGGGGCACCTCGCCAGCCGCCGCCTCCCGGCTGCGGACGCCTCCTAGCAGGTTGTTGTTTTTATGAGAGGCGTCACTGGCACCCGAGGCGGTGACCGCCGCCACCGTGACAGCCGGCTGCGTCGGGTGGAGGTGGCGCTGCCGCGTCAGGTACAGTCTTGGGCGAGTTTAGACCCCGGGAGCGGAGTCGGGGCGGACTGTCGGTAGCCGTGATTTACACCCTCAGCTCCGCGTCTCGCGGGGGCAGAGTGGAGGTCTCACTCCTGCGCGAGGCTGCTCGGGCGGGGACTTGACCCCTGGCGCGCGCGTCCCCACGGGCGAGCTCCTTGAGCCCCGAGTCCAGAGCACCCGGGGACCGGGCTGGCCCCTGAGGCGTCAGGTCCAGTGGTCTGCAGCCTCTGAACCAGCGTGCAGTCCTGAGGTGTTGCCGGGGTGGGGGAGCTGATGCCCCAGCGGACCCTCCCTTTACCCGGTAGGGCTTGGGGCGATTCTCGTCCGGGCTGATGGAATCCATATGGTAACATGTGTGCGTCACTTTGCCTGCCTTTTGGGTCTTTCTATTTTGATGACGTTTGAGCCCCGTGATGCCAGGAATAGAAAGAGTAAAGGTAAAACAATGCAGCTGAGATTTCTCCTCCAACGCCAGCCTCCTCCTCCCTACCTTTCTCTCTCTCCACCGGCCTCCTTTAGCTAGTCTTCCTAAAGGACTTGTCCTCAGAAGCAGCTGTCCCACGCGACGTCTTGTGTGTGTTACATGTTTGGCTGTATTTAATGAACCCCAACTCTTTGCCATTGGGAACGACAATTTTAACAAACTCAGCCAATTAAAGTATTTGGTTGAGTGGTGAAATTTGCACTATCCCCCTCTAGCTTTATTAAAGCCAGAATGGCGGTTTCTTGTAACTGGAATAGATAACTACTTTATTGAGAATTTTGAGAGTAATCTGCCACTAAATAGTGCTTGAGATGACTCACACTCGTTAGCAGATCATACTTTGGCTTAAGGTTTGACTAGACTCCTCATTTCCCAGGGTTATTTGTCATACATAGCTAATGTGAATGGCTTACTATTACTAATTTACTATTACTATTTATGCTTTTCTAGTGTGCAGGAGGCCTTGGGTTTCATACCTAGCCCTGGGAAAAAAATTCTAATCTATATTTAAAGGCTTTGGGAAAAACTTATTTTAAAATAAAAACAGGTTGGAAGATAGTGTAATTAGAGACAATTTTGAATACCAAGATATAGAATAAGAAGGTGCTTATATTTCTATTGAAAAATAAGGCCAAAAGATATTCAACGTGAAACTACGAATTATTTTTCTTTACTTTGCAGTATTTTTTTTTTAAAGTGAGTGAGAGAGGGGAGAGAGAGAGAGAGAGAGAGAGAGAGAATTTTTAACATTTATTTATTTTTTCTTAGTTCTCGGCGGACACAACATCTTTGTTGGTATGTGGTGCTGCTGAGGATCGAACCCGGGCCGCACGCATGGTAGGCGAGCGCGCTACCGCTTGAGCCACATCCCCAGCCCCTTTGCAGTATTTTTTAATATTTATTTTTCAGTTTTCCGCAGACACAACATCTTTATTTTATTTGTATGTGGTGCTGAGGAACGAACCCAGCGCCCCACGCATGCCAGGGGAGCGCGTTACCCCGCGAGCCACATTCCCAGCCCCCTTTGCTGTATTTTTCAAATTTTCTATAGAAAGAAAAGGAATGCAGCAGTTTCATTTCATTTATATGGATTAATCAAACATTACTTTAAAAAGTAGTTACAACACAAAAACAGTCCCTGTTGCTGAATCTACCGACTGTATGAATTTAAAAGTAAATTATTTTGGAGAGAAGAAGGGAAAATAAATGAATTAGTTGCACTGGAAGGAATAAAAAATGTAGATGATAATAATTCTTAGCATTTGTACTTACCATTTTTTTTCCACCTTGTACAGTAAGATCAAAGATAAAAGTACTTAGCCTTTCATGAGTTAAGTCTGGACAATGCCTATAAATCCATCAGGTGAAGAAAGATTAGACCTACTGGAAAGATCTGAAAGTAGCAGAATTTGTTTATTATTTTTAAGCATTACTATAACCAGGTATTTTAATCTTATTAATATGGAATCACTTTGAGTACTATATTTTATATGTCTGATATTTTGCATTTATTTTTATTTTATTTTCTGTTACTGTTACTTTGGGTATGGATAGGTAAGTAGCATAATTATTTAGTTCACATTTGTTTTGTGACAGAAAGACCACATTGTTCTTCCAAAGGAATACTGTATGCATTTTTGCTATTATCAGTCACTTTAAAAAATTATTTACCTCAATGCCAAATTAATTAGTTGGTGTTTTTTTTTAAGTTGTAGCTGGACACAATACCTTTTTATTTATTTACTTATTTATTTTTTATGTGGTGCCCAGAATTGAACCTGGTGTCTCATAGGTGCTAGGTGAACACTCTACTGCTGCGCCACAACCTCAGCCTGCCAAGTTAATTCTTAATGCCTCAATGCCATTAATTTTTTTTTGTTTTGTTTTGTTTTGGTACCAGGGATTGAATGCAGGGGCGCTTACCCACCAAACCACATCTCCAGCTCTTTTTTAAAGAATGGGTCTCACTGAGTTACATAGGGTCTCTATAAGTTGCTGAGGCTGAGTTTGAACTCATGATCCTCTTCCCTCAAACTTCCTAAATTGCTGGGATTACAGGCATGCACCAATATTGGCTAATGCCATTAATTCTTAATAAAATATCTATTGTTATTTTTCAGGCAATAGTATTCATATTTTATTTTTTTAGGTTGCCTTGTTTGGAATGTTCCTTCTTTAAATTTCTGTTCTATATTTTCTACATTTTAATTTTGTATATTTTGTGTACTGTGTTGGTTTATTATGTTGTTAGGATTTGGATCCTCTTAACAAAGCATAAGAAGTATTCATAATACATTAACATGTCTGATTTTTGAATAGGTGTAATTGTATTCCTATCTAAATTAAAGATTTTAAAAAATGAGGTCTGAGTATGAACTGCCAGAAACATTAAAAAAAAATAGTAGTTTCTGAAAATTTTAAGAACAGACACAGCAACAAAGCCAATTAAATTCAATTAAAACAAAATGCAGCAACAAAGCCAATTAAGCCAATTAAAACAAAATGCAGATTCATCTAACAATGCAGAACCACTAGAGGCTGGGTTATTTTTGTGTTTGTGTGGTTAAGGTAAGGAAGTTGCCATAATCTAAGTGATAACTACTGTATTTTGAAGGATTTCCTTCCTGACAGTTCTGCAAATTTGATGAGATTTAAACATCTAAAAATATAAGTTGGTTTCGAAGGTCTTTTTCAGTGTCTAACACCAGAAAAAAATTGAGTAAATCATCTCTCAACTTGAGTTCTAAGATGAAATTTAGCCCCACAATGTGCAAAGGATTGCATCTAACAAAGGGATTTTTTTAAAAAGGGAATTTAACGTATGATAAGCTGTAAAAGAGGCTTTAAGATTTTTTGAAGAAGTATTGGAAAATAAGTAGTGTGAATTAAAGATTTTCCTCTTTAATCACATGAAGCCAAAAATCTAATTTTTCTTGAATAATGTCTATAAATCACTATCCTTTCAAGATTTTCTACTTCATATTGCCAGCTTAATGAAGAATAAAAGGGGCATTGGATTGGGAATCAGGATGTTTTATGATGTTGGGCAAGTAATTTAATTTAGGGGTATCTATTTCCATTTATAAATTGCAATAATACAATAATAGTAACCAGTTGCCTTCTTTTTTCTGAAGATCAAATCAGACATGATTTGTAAATGACAGTATTATTGGCCTGCATAAGTGACATTTACATAAAGTGTATTATACACTTGAAGTGTAATGACTTGATGTGATAAATGCTTCTTGATGAAGTTTCATTAAAGTCAAATGGAGCTTCATTTGATTTCTTAGTGAGCTTGGTGGCATTTTCTAGGTTGAAGGAAACCTGGCTCCTCTTCTGACTGTGACTTTGCACTCTGCTGCATTAAAGGCCTTGAAACAGTAGTGTGTTTCTGTGGTTGGGTTTTTAAATTTTTGTTTTAATCTCACATCTAAAAGAGTGTTGGAGCCCTATTTTAACAGGAAGTGGCTACTCTTTCTAAAATGTTCTAAAATGAGACATTAAATTGATTTTATAAGAAATGAGACTACATTAAGTATGAAATCCCAGGTCCTCTGAGAGATAACATTGCTTACATAAGCAGTAAAGTTTAGCCATCTCCTTCTGGAGAAGTCAGCCCTGGCTGTTATAGCATCTGACTGTGGAGATCATCTTCAAGTTTTGTTGACAAACAGCATTCAAATGAAAAGTCTTAGTAATTTAGGAATACATTATAAGGAGTTTATCAGAGTACATAGAGGTAAATGAAAATAAAAGACAAATATATATTGTATCATGGGTTGGTAATTTTTTTAAGTGAGAAATCCATCTTTTTTTTTTTAAAGTTATTTTTTTTAAGAGAGAGTGAGAGAGGAGAGAGAGAGAGAGTTTTTAATATTTATTTTTTAGTTCTCGACGGACACAACATCTTTGTTGGTATGTGGTGCTGAGGATCGAACCCGGGCCGCACGCATGCCAGGCGAGCGCGCTACCGCTTGAGCCACATCCCCAGCCCCTTTTTTTCTAATAATTATTTTTTTTTAGTTGTAGGTGGATACAATACCTTTAAAAATAAAGGTGCTGAGGATTGAACCCAGTGCTTCATGCATGCTAGGTGAGCATTCTGCCACTGAGCCACAACCCCAGATCTATACTTTTATCCAGTAGAAAAATGAAAGTTTGAGAATAGCAAAACCCAACCAGGGTCCATTATTTTTAAAATTTATTTCTCTATACAAAGGAAAAAGAGCACCCATGGCTTACAGTAGTACCCAAGTGAGGACAGACTGTAGATTTGTGTGTCTTACATATCTTTTAGCCCTTCCAGACTTTTATAAAATTAAGATATAACAACACGGGAAAATCAGGATTTTTCTCACAATGAGAATATCCTTTGAAAAGAATACTATACTGGCAGTTATTTTTTCTTCCGTGTTTTGGATTCATTATTGTTTACTTACTTTATTTCAATCTATTAATTAAAGATGTGGCTTCTTTTAAATTAAGACAAAAA